AATTTGTTTCTATAATATTATTTCTTTGTTTTCTTTACTTATTATTACTTCCTTGTTTACTTCATATATATTGTTGTTTTCTTTTTATATATATTTCTTCTTGTTTTCTTTATATACTTCTTTGTTTCTTTACATATATTTTGCTTTCTTTGTTTTCTTTACATATATTTCCTTTTATACATATACTTTCCTTTGTTTTCTTTTACATATTAATTTTCTTTGTTCTCTTTATATTATTACTTTTTTTTTTTTACATATTATTTCCTTTGTTCTTTATACATTTAATTTCTTTCTTGTTTCTCTTTATATTTACTTCTTTTGTTTTCTTTATATACATATACTTTCTTGTTTTCATATTACTTTCGTTTCCTTTTATATATATTTTCTTTCTGTTTCTTCTTTATATACACTTTCCTGTTTCTTTACATATTAATTTCTTCTTGTTTCCTTTACATACTTTCTTCTGTTTCTTTACATATTACTTTCTTCTGTTTCTCTCATACTTTCTTCTTGTTTTTCTTTATATTAATTTCTTCTTGTTTTCTTTACATTATTATTTCCTTCTTGTATTTCATATTATTACTTTCTTTCTTGTTTTCTTTATATATTAATTTCTTCTTTGTTCTCATATTAATTTCTTTCCTTTGTTTCTTCTCTTTATATTATTAATTTCTTCTTTGTTTTACATATTAATTTCTTCTGTTTCTCTCTTTACATTATTAATTTCTTTCTGTTCTCATATTACCTCTGTTTCTTTACACATACTTTCTGTTTCTATATTATTAATTTCTTCCCTTTGTTTTCCTTTATATACTTTGTTTCTCTTTACATACTTTTTGTTTCTTTACATTATTATTTCTCTTGTTTTCTTTATATTAATTCTTTTTGTTCTATATTAATTTCTTGTGTTTCTTTATATTATTAATTTCTTCTTGTTTCTCTCTTTACATTATATTAATTTCTCTTGTTCTCTTTACATTACCTTTCTCTTGTTTCTTTACATTATTACTTTCTGTTTGCTCTCATAGATTACTATTAATTTCCCTTGTTTTCTTTACATTATTACATTCTCTTGTCTCTTTACATATTAATTTTTGTTCTCTTTACATACACTTCTTTGCTTTTACACTTCTTCCTGTTTCCCTACATTAATTTCTGTCTTTACACTTTGTCTCTACATATATTTCTTTCTTGTTTCTTTTATATTATACTTCTTTTGTTCTCTTTATATTATACTTTCTTGTGTTTTCTTTACATTATTAATATTATTTTCTCTTGTCTCTTTACATTACTTTCTTTTGTTCTCTCATATATTTTCCTTGTTCTCTTTACATATTTCTTCTTGTTTTCTTTATACATATTTATTTCTGTTTCTTTACATTATTAATTTGTCTTCTCATATTAATTTCTTGCCTTCCCTTTTACACACATCTCTCTTGCTCTCCCTTTACATTATTATTTCATGTTTCACACATTACTCCCTGTTTTCACTTCCACATTAATTTCTCTTGTCTCCCTAATACATATAATAATTTCCGATGTCCTACATGAGCACTAAAGTATTTCATTATGAGGAAAGAACTAGGTATACCCAGTGCCAAAGATAGTAATAATTGAGTCAACCCCGCGATAGCCCTGGAGGCTTCTGCGGTGATCCTGATAACATTGTTTCCTTAAAATTGCTAGAATGTATGAACCATGTGACTTCGAGTCAGCCGGATCCAAACTACAGCACATTTGAAGATGTTTCGGACGACCACCTGTGGCCAAAGGTGACAGCTTCCGCTACCCTGGCGGACAGTTCCTTCGATATCACAATACCGACGTATCCGCCTAAAATTAATTATACAAAGCATGTATCTTCCAACACACTGCCAAATTGAGAGCCTTGAACACATACACACCTCTTAGCTGGTGACTGATGATAATATCACACAGACCATCTACACTGATGGATTCTAAACACCGCCTGGGAGGGCTGGGCATTGTTGTGACTCAACCTGACGGTAATATAATTGAGAAAGGAGTTAGAATTAACAACTGGGCATCCACTCTACAAACTGAATTAGCTGCCATACTCACAGCTATTAAATCTATTGAAACCACTGTTACTGACAGTCTCTCATCATCACTGACTTCTCTATCTCACTACTTGCTCCTGGTACCTCGACTCAGGCTGCCTTGTCTCTGGAAGCCAGACACAAATATGCGCGCCTTGCTGGGCCGGGTGTCAGGTCAACTGTTGTGGGATCCCTCTCACATAGGCTTCATAAAACATGACAGAGTTGATGCCTCGCCAACCGCTGCGTCTAACAAAAGACACCGTTGAATTACAATTGGTCTGTCAAAGAACCCTTAAACTGTACCAGGAAAGAACTTCGCTGATGAGTTTGACGTGCGGCATTGCAAACAGGCACTAGTCGATCCATGTTACCATGATGATGTAATAAGTGAAATATGTATAGGAGTGCAACAAGATCACTAGATTAAGGCATGTTTTAAACTGCTAGATGTTAGATATAAGTACCTTTTGCAGTATGTTCTCAAGTAGATGTAAACAAAATTCAATAAAGTGTGTGGCTATACATATGGCTACCTTGAACACCACAGTCCTCGGGACTGTGTGAAGATAGAACCTTTAGGGACAGGTCCAAGAACACTGTGTGTGAAATGGCACAACACTTCATCTCTAATGACAAGATAGCTAGCAATACGTAACTGAAACGAAGTGGCTACTGA